AGGCAAGTTCTACCACAGCACTACATCCCCAGCCCTCAGCTTTTTCATAGCTATAAGTCAACATGGTTTCTCCAACCTACTAGTTGCTTTCACACTATCTGAGCATTTCCTCAAAGCCTCATACAGTAGGCTTTCAATCTGCTTACAAGGAAGTCTAAGTGACTATTTATTAGAATATGCTATCAGGAGATCCAGAATACCTTCTTAACAAGAAATCTGATTTTCTTTTTTTTTTTTTTGCTTAAATTTTTTTATTGGTACATTTGAGGTACACAATATGTTTACATTTATCATTGGGTGCTCATACCTGTACATGATGTATCTTGGTTCTTATTTTTTCCTCATTACCTGTGCGTCCTTCACCCCTCCACCCTTCCCTATTTATAAAGACTTTGTTTCCATTTTTTCCTTTTCTCATAATTTTTCCTTTCCCTTCTTTCCTTTCCCCTATCCCTCCCAATTCCCCTATCCCTTTGGACCTTTTCTCCCTATTTCAAATTATCAATTATTCATTTTAATCATTTTAATTCTTATTTACACTTTCAGTTTCTCACACTATAGAAGCTATTGGGTATTTACACATGTGTGTCCTATTTATTTCACTTAAGAGTATGCCCTCTTAAGAGTATGGCCTCAATATGCATCCATTTAGCTATAAATGTCTCTAGTTTCTCGTTCTTTATGGCTGAGTTGTACTCCATTTTATACAAAAAAATGCCGCTATAAACATGGGTGCACATATATCTGTGTGGTATGATTCTTTTAATTCTTTGGGGAAGATACCCAGCAGGGGAATAGCTGGGTCAAATGGAACCTCTAGTCCTAGATCTTCGAGGTATCTCCATAGTGAAGAAATCTGATTTTCTTCATAGAACAATCCCAAAAGTATATACCAAATTGATATGTATATGACCATCTTTTAAGTTGGAAATATGCTCTTGGCCAAAAAAAATCTTAGAATAATTTTTTTATTAATATATGTTCATTGTAAAAAAAACACAGACCTATGGATGTAGCTTGGTACAGAGTGCTTGCCTAGCATGTGTAAGGACCTAGGTTCCATCCCCAGTACCATAAAAAACAAAAACAGACACAACCATTAATATGTGTCTTGATATGAAATGGTATATATGCTGTTTTACAACCTTTTCCCAAAATATACAGTACAAATCTTTCTCAAATCATTTAACATTATTTTACAATATGAGTTTTTACCATCTTTTATTCTTTTTAGGAGGGTGGGGTCAGTCCTAGGGTTCTATATGCTAGGCAAGTGCTTCACCTCTGAGTTACTCCGTAGCCCCCTCTTATATTGTACTTATATCTTTATACCTTTATATTACGCTGGGGGAAAAATGGTTGTTGAATGTTTCCTCATATTTCTCATAAATGACAGTGCTTTGAAAAGGGCAAGCTGAACAGTTTTTAATCCTGTAAAATGTTTCCATTTTCTATTGTATTTTCTGTGTTGGAGGTTGAACCCAGGACCTCATACATGCTATCCAACCACTTTGCCACTTATATGTCCAGCCCTTAAAACACATTTTTTTAAAAAAAAGTCTGAGACAGGGTCTTGCTGAGCTGCCCAGGGTGGCCTCAAACTTGCAGTCCTCGTGCCTCAGCCTCCCTGGTAGCTAAGATGGATTACAAGTGTGTGCTACCATACCTAGCTAAATGTTTCCAACATCACAACACCAAATTGTGCGTGCTAGGCAAATGATCTACCACTGAGCTACGTCCCCAGCCCTATTTTGCCTATATCCATCATGATTTACAATAAATTCTATAAAGAGTGATTGCTGGGATAGAATAAGTACACTTTTTAGGATCCTGATGGATATTTCAAACCCATCCTCTGAGAAAGTGGTCCCAAGCAGAAGTACACATTTCAGTCCTTTTATCTACAGTGGGAGTACCATTTTTTTAGTCACATGGCACTTACAAATCAGTCTTCAGAATTTCCTCCCTCTCTCCTTTCTTCCCTCTAGTCTCCTTCTCCATCTTCATATAAACTGCTCCTCTGTTTTTTCCAGATCTATTTTCATTTACACTTTTCCACTGTTCCTCTTATAATGTTTCTATTATAACACTGAAATTTGCCTAGCTAGTCTTTATCCCCTTAGACTCTTAGAGCCAAAGTATCAACCAACTAATCTGACAAAGTAATCTATGCTAACATAAAGGGGCTCATTCTCAGGAACATACATACAACATAACTTGAACAGTTTAAGGAAAATACATCATCTATAATAGGAATTCATTTTATAAAGCGATGGTTTTCAAGTTTTCCTACAATAGAAGTTACCTGGGGGAACGTTTTAAAATGTTGCTATGAATACTTATCTCCGGGCTGACTATTTAGCTCAGTGATTCTGCCACCTGTCTCGAAAGTGCAAGGACCTGAGTTCCATCCCCAGTACAAAAAAAAAAACCAAACAAACTTATCTCCCACAAATCCTGGATCATTTGGTAAAGGGTGAGATTTGAGCATCAGGATTTTTTTAATGGTTCCCAGAGGATTCCAATGTAGCATCTGTGTTTGAGATGGGTTAAGAGAGAGATCCTCCCTCAGTGGCTTCTTCTTAGATAGTATTAGAGGACCCCAAGCAAGAAGAGTACAGTGGGCACAATCACAGTAAACTGACTCACTGGTCAAGATAAAGGAGATAAGACAGAGTAGTAAGGGGCCAGGCATTTGCCAATGACAACAGAATAAAGCAGCATTTGTGTTCCTTGATGCTAGGTAGGTGCCGCTGTGTCAAGAAGTAGGCCAAGCTTAATCTCTTAAATAGCTTCAATTGCTTTTGCAATTGAAACTAAAATTATTGGAGTAAGAAGGTTTATGCCATGCATGTTAGTGGTAGCTCTCTAGGTTTCAATGATGCAAATTATTTCCCGTTCACATGTTTCACTGTTCCAACAGAGGTGGGCAATCCTACAGATTTCCTACACAATCCACAGTGGATCCTTGGAAACAACTCAGAATAAAAACCAGTACCAGGCATTTTAATATACTATGGGGCTGGAAGCATAGCTCCGTGATACAACACCCACCTAGCCCGAACAAGGCCCAGGGTTTGAACCCTATCTTACAGGGAAAACTCAGCAAAATTATTTTCTTGAGAGGCTGAGGATTCAGCTCAGTGGCACTGTGCCTGCCTAATAAGCACAAGGTCATGAGTTCGATCCCCATCACCAAAAAAAAATTATTTTCTTGAATAGCATATGTTTTCATCTGCTCCGAATGATCTTGCCAATATTTACAATTCTGAAGAGAAATGACAAAAGCCACTTCTCTGTAAACCCACTCAGGTCAGTTCAGAATACGTCACCTCCTCTGCTGGGACCTGGCATTCCCATTCCCAAACAGTCTGCGGGACTACCAAAAGGACCCTATAGCCCAGTGCAGAAAGAAAAGCTTTTCTTCAAACCTGGCTTTTCCAAAATTACTTATGATAAGGAAGACTTCCTTGTGACCTGAAAACCAAGGCTCCTCTCTGCAGCCAACACAGCAGTTTCTTCTTCCTCATTTTCTTTTTCAGTTACTGGAGACAGCCATTTAACGCACCCAAGTAAATACTATTGTTCTCTCGAATCTTTGAAAGGTGTTACTTCCAAATTATATAATTCCACGAGAGAAGAGAGAAATTGCAGGGCTTCCTACATGAAGACTGACTTTCTTGGTATCAATTCTAGAGAAGGAGTTGTGGTTACTATTTCACCATGTCAAATTTTAGTAAGCAGAGGAAATGAATGAACTCTAAAGGTTCACAGACATATCCTAATGGAGGGAAAAAAAAAGGCCTTGGAGGTGGAGAATGTGCTTGGCTTCAGAAAAAAGCAAATTTCTACTAGGAATGTGCTACAACACCCTAATAAGAGGATTTTTAATAAGACAAAGCTCTGAAGACTATGCGCAGGGGAAAAGAATATAAACCCTCCAGGAAAATCAGGGTGTTTTGTTGTTTTTCCTTTGTCTAGTTGTCATTCCCGAAAGGATTTTTATAAAAAGCCCAGGGTTGAGGCGAGGGAAGTGACTTGATTTTGGAAGAGGGTTAAGAGTTTAGATGGGGTAGGCTGCTCGGAAATACTACCCAATCATAGGGTTCAGCTTTGGCCTCAGACTGTAGTTACGACACGAAAAGCAATGCATGGAATAAACTAGTTACCTTTTCTGTCTACGAGGGGAAAACACACACACACACACACACACACACACACACACATACACACAAACACATTTATGATGCAGTGGAGAGAAACGCTATTCTTCCAGGTTAAGCCTGGGCACCCCAGCTCCAGCAAAGATTATTGCCTTGTCAGTCAAGGATATAAATGATGGCCAGCAGGCAGAAAACATACAATATGCAAACAAGGGCTAGCAGAGCCTCCACCTCCGCCACCTTTTCAGCCAGCCGGGCCTCCCTGCCTCCCTTCTAGGACTGATCCAAGAGCCACAGATGAAATGAGAGATGGCGCGGCTCCTCTCTGCTACAGCAGCCCTCCCCGCTGTCCCCGGGAAGGGAGCGCCAAGGCCTGGGGACCGGGGGGCCTGCCGGTGCCGCTTCTGCCTTGAAGGAGGCTGCATTCCCCAGAATCAGCGTCTGTTTCCCCCTTCCTAAAACGTTTAAGTCACCCTCTGCGGGCCCCTCGGGGAGAACGAAATTGGGGGATGGAATGGCTTACAAAATGCTGAAGGATCTGGCACTTGGCACTGCAAACCCAGACGGGGACATTTAGGACAGACGAAAGGTGAACCCGCTGGTAAATGCTGTCCAAGAACTTCCCTTCCCCTCTTCCATCACGCAGACGTCAGACCCAGCTCCGTGCCAGCAAGGAGGCGATTGAGACACCCTGGCAGTGTCCAGCTGGGCCACCTTAAAAAGCGATCTCCTGGCTGCACTGGAAGAATACGCACTCTCGGGAGCATGAAATTTTGTTCCCCCATTGAATACTCCTTTAGGAGGAGGGAGACAGAAGCAGCGCCCCGCTGCGCTCACCACTTGCTGTGCGCCCCGGAAAGTCGCGTCCAGGAGCATCAGCTTCCAGGGATCCGACACCGAGCTGGGCAGCGGGATGTAGACGTAGTAGGCGGCCAGCGCCACCAGGGCGGTGAGCAGAACACAGGACGACCTCATCCTCCCGGCTCGGCGCGCGGCTTGACCTCGGCTCGACCCGGAGGAGGCTATGCCACCCGGAGATCTCACTAAGTTTCTGCCAGCCGCAGCGGCCCATTTACGTGTTTCTTATAAACCCGGAGCCAATCACCGGCTGCGCCGGGAGGAAGTGGGGACGGGGACGCGCGGCCTCCTGTTTGTCCTAGCCCGGGGGCCGCGGACGCTCCAGGTTGGAGGACGCGCGGGCGGAGCGCAGCGCTCCCTGCAGGACGCTGGCTGGTACTGCGTGCTGTGGCCTGCGCCACCGCCTGCAGGTCCTTGAGCGCTAGTCCGGTCCTGTCCGAGCTGCGGGTCTCCGTCCACTCTGACTCAAAATGGAGACACTATTGAGAACGGTAATAAAAAGCTCTCCCTCTAGACCCAGAATTGGAATGTGAGCTCTAACGATAAATGAGGGAAAAGAGAGTGACAAATTCCTGTAGCTCAAGCAATGATCCGCCAGCAGTACATCTAGCACCCAAATCTTGGCTTCCAAATTTCATTCTCAATGAAAAGAATCAGGCTCTTTGCCGCAGCTCTTCAGAGAAAAAGCTGATTTCAAGGCCAGGGCAGGCAAATTACAAGATGAGGATGTTTTGGCAGAAGATAACGAAGTGTTCAAAAAATGGCGGGGAAGGATCAAAAGGTTACAGGTGGTAGTTTGAAGGGTCTCCTCATAGCTACTTTTAACAGCAAAATAAATCATCCTAATGAATTGTGAACCGTCGAATAAATAAAAAACCAGGAATTTATACTAATATAAATGATTAAGTGGAGGAAGAAAGAAGGCTTTCTTTACAATGGAATGCCAGTTATTATTAACCATAGAAAATGATAAACAAATGCTAAAACTAGTGAGTGAAAGTTTGACAAGAAATTTTAGTTCTCGTCAAAAGATCTGTCCACAAAGCCAGGTCTGGTGGCACAGGTCTGAAATCCCAGCACTTGGGAGGTGAGGCAAGAGGATGCCAAGTTTAAGGCCAACCAGGGTTACAGAGTGAGACCCTGTCTTATATATTTTTTAAAAAATCTCCCCACGTAGATTATTTGTTTTTGTTTTTTGTTGTTTTTTTTTTTGGTACTGGGGATCAAACTCGGGACCTTGTGCTTGCAAGGCAGGCGCCAGAACCACTGAGCTAAATCCCCAGCCCTCCCCTCCATGTAGATTATTAATTATGAAAGAAAAAGAAATACTTTTATAAAGGACTAACCTGGTGGATACCACCTGAAATAGTTGTTTTGGTGCGTGAACAATATCAAGAGAATTATTTCAATTCAAATTTCCTGTTAAAGATAGGAGAAGTAAGGTACAGAATGGGAGAGAGAAAACTCCTCAGGCAGGATTACAACCAGAAATCCAGAAGGTAAATATTAGGGATGCTTTTAAGGAAGTAGTAGGAGAACAACTCCAAACCTATTGACCAAGGCCTTTAAATACCTGGTACATAAAATCATACATCTTAATATAGTGATTTAAATTTAATCGAATCCACAGAAGTGAAATAACCGTAGATGTGGGGTTGATGATGAGATCAGGACAAAGTTGGCTTCTTACTCAAAATCAGAGGTAAATGTTTTGAAGATCACACTTCAGTGACATTTTAAGCATAAGCCTGAGGTACTTGTTTTCCATCTTTTTAACTATTATTTCTTTTAGTTACTGGTTCAGCACACAACTTTCAACAGATAGGTCTGAATATGTTGTGAGTGTATGTACATGAATCTAGACCTCATCTTAATGGGTAATAAGAAACAATTCCAGCGATATAAGCCAAGCTAACTAGTGGACTGGGTTAACATTATTTGGTGTTTTTTTTGTTTTTTTTGTTTTGCTTTTTTTTTTTTTGGTACCAGGGATCGAACTCGGGTCTTTGCGCTTGCACAGCAGGCGGTGAAACCACTGAGCTAAATCCCCAGCCCCAAAAGTAATTCAAGGTTTTACCTTGTAGACTTTGATATTTCTTCTGGAGTTTGCATATTAATAAAGTCATAGATCTTAGAAATAATGACAAAACCAAGCCCCAGACAAACAAAAACAAAGTCCCATGCCTGCCCCCGCCCTGCATCTTTGGCTATAGTAACAAGCTCAGTGTCTCAGATGTGTCTCCCGAGGACCAGCGCAATAACCTGGTTAGCTCGATCCTGACTCTAGTGTAAAGAGATGGAACCCATATTCACCTCGTGTGCATCCCAGTGCAGGGCAGCTTCCTTTCAGTGGTGCACTAAGAGATAGAAAATGAGAAGAAAGAAACTGTATAATTCTCCATGATAGATGAGAGAGTTTTTAAAAATGAGACTAATTTGAAATAGTCTTAAACATTTTCATAACTTGTTCAAATACTTCATTCATTCAACAAATATGCCTGCCCCATATTGAGAAATAAGGGTGTTGAAGGAGAGTAAGGAAGCTGGTCTACTCTTTAAATTTTACATGTTTGTTGGGGAGGGCCGGGATTTATCTCAGTGGTTCCCCCTCTTGCCACCCCCCACCCCGCCCCAGTGCAAAGTCCTGAGTTCCAAGCCCGGTACCAGAAAACAAAGAAAGAAACAAACAAACAAACAGAAAAACATGTTTGTTGGGGAGTGCAGTGTAAGGAAGGTATTGTGATACTTCTGTTCACAAATTTAATTATTTCCACGATTCTGGTCACAAACTAAATTGGATGAGAACCAAATCAAATTTCAACATGAGCTCAACATTGAACCTAACCATTGAATTTGATTCAGTTTTCATCCAATTCAGTTTTCAATCAGAATTGTGGAAAGAATCAAGTTTGTGAACCGAGGTGTCACTCTACACAGGAAGGGCCAAATGATAAATGAACAAACAATAATGGGTAATATATGTTGAGTGCTTATTTTGAGCCAGATTCTGTGGAAAGCACTTTGAATATATTAACTCATTTCATTTCCTAACAATTTTGTGATGCACTACTGTTATTCTGAAAACAAAGGCCCTGAAATATGAAGGGCTTTGCCCCAAGTTGTCCAGCTGGTGAGGTGTATGTGGGATTTGAGCCCACAGAGTCTGGGCCTAGTGCTCACTTGCTCTAGCATTCCACTCTACTTCTGAGTAGCAATGTGGGGAAAATAGAATAAAATACAGTGAGAGGCCACCCTGTGGATGGCCGCTGCTTAAATTGGGAGCAGAAGGGCTCTGAGGAGATGCCATTTGAGCATCTAGATGAGGAAGAGACCTCAATGACCTCGGAGGAGAGCCTTGCTAAAATCTGGGGAGGACTGCAGAGGCTCTAAGGTGCTAATAATGACAAGGAACGAAAAGAGTGCTAGCAAGCCTGGAGCAGTGTGTCAGGGTAAAGGGACGCGCTCAGGCAGAGGAGGAAAGTGTAAGAGGGCAGATCATTTGCTGTGAGTTAGGAGTTTGAATATCCAGGCACAGTGGGAAGAAGCTGGGGAAGTAACAGGATCTGGTGTGCATTTGAAAAGGTGAAAGCCAGATGCTCTGTGAGAACAGAAGGCCTATGGGGCAGCTTCTGCAGTCACCAGGCGAGAGATGATGGGGCTGTGGGGGCAGCTTAGCACTGGAATGGAGACAGGAGATAAGCTTAGGATAGAGATGGCAGAGATAAAAACATATTCATAGATTGTGAAGAGTGATAAAAAGAAAAGAGTTTATACAATTCTCTACTTCTAAGACAGCATTTGAATCAAGCAATTAACTTTTCTATTTTTCTAGAATTGCCTTAGATTTACTTTTTGTATAATCTCTCAAGTATATGGCATGGCAAAATCATTGCTTACCGAAATATGCATTTTTATTACTTGAAAAAACTGACTCAAATGCCATACATTACACCATGTCAAGGGGCTTCTTCATCCTAGATGAGCAGAGCCTTAGTTCAACATGTACTGAGTTTTGTTATCTCAAAGGCACAGTGGTAGATGCCCATGTGATGAAGATATGGTCCCATTCGCTGCCAGAAGTGTTCTCTCTAGCTGGAGACAAAGTCGGACAAGCGGACAGATTTTAGAGATGGAGGATTCTGCTCTGGAAGGCTGGGGAGTAGAGTGATCACAGAGCAGGTTCTGCTGGTGGAAAAGCAGAGTGCAGGCAGCTTCTCAGTGAGACCATCCTTGGGAGACAGAAGAACACAAGCAGGGTGCTGAAGTGCAATGGGAGCAGAAGACTCTACAAAAGTTCAGTATTTCTGCAGCATCAAATGCAGGGGAGAGGAGGGAGGTGAAAATTTAACCTGAAGAGTTAGCAAAGGTCATATGATACAGGCCTCATGTGTTAAACCCGAGAGTGTGAGCATTATCTTGTGTGGGGGCTGGGGGGGAGTTGAAGGATTTCCATTAGATCCTCCTGGTAGCAAAGTAGAAAGTACGTTGGTGGGCAGAGAGCAGAGGAAGCTGTTGGGAGAGTGTTCCTTTGAAGATATCCAAGAACGAGATATTAGCTTGGACTCGACTCAAGTGATGACCATGTAGTAAACAGTCCAAGGATGCCTAAGAAGTAGACTCAAAAGGCCTTGGAGGAAAGGAGAAAGGAGTCGTTGACAAGAATTCCAAGGTTTCTTGTTGAGGATAGGGATGCTTTTTCTGAGATAAAGAATGATGGGAAATAGCCAGGCGTGGTGGTGGACACCTGTAATCTCAGCACTCAGGAGGCTGAGGCAGGAGGATTGCCATGAGTTCCAGGCCAGCCTGGGCTATATAGTGAGTTCAAGTCCAGCCTAAACTACACAAGACCCTGTCTCAAAAACCAAAACTAAATAAAATAAAAATAAATTTATAAGGATGGTGAGAGAATAAAAGGTTTAAGGAAAAATGATAAATTCCATTTGGAATATTTAGGTTGGAGGTACCTATGAGACATTTAAGTGGTGAAAGTGAGTAGGCTTCTACATGCGTAAGTCGGGTGCTCGTAGGAGACACACAAGCTGGAGATGTAAAGGTGAAAATCCTCATCCTATAACCAAAGCCCTGACGATGGATGGGAGAAGCTGCAGGGCTGGGAAAAGCAGGCCTGAGGGGCTTGGCATTTACTGTTTCAGAGGAGGAGGAGAAGCTGGCAAAAGAGGCCAAGTTAAAATGGTCAGAGAGTCCTATCCAGATTAGAGAAACGGAGTAGTGATAGACATGAAAGGCAAAACAGTCATTAAAAAGGTAAATTGTAGAATTTCTTAACTGGATTCCCCCACTCCACCCCACCCCACCCCCACCCCACCCCCACCCCAGTACCAGGGATCAAACTCAGGACCTCGCACTTGCCAGGCAGGAACAGTGCCACTGAGCTACATTGCTGGCCCTTCTTAACTGCATTTTTAAAGCAAGAAGGAGAGGATGGAGATGACTCTGAAGGCTCTGGTTTCGGTAATGTCATTAATTGATGTAGGAATTATTGACAGGAAAGCAGGTTTGGGAATAAGAGAATGAGTTCAGTCTTCTGATGGACTCAGGATAAAATACCCTGATGGACATGTCCAGCAGTTCATCAGATTGAGAGGTTTAAAATTTAGCAAGAGGAGTGATGTCAAGGATATGCTAGGGAACTGTCATGATGGATAACCTGAGCAGCATATTTCAAATTGCTGATGCAAAGTATATGACACAAAACATACAATACAAATAAAGTACCAGGAGTACATCATATACTAATCCACTGATACACGTCATTAACGCAAAATATATAGAATAAGATAGAGTGATACAAAGGTCTCTAAGAGTTTTTAGATTAATTGACTCAATTATATTCAGCAACATTCTCAGCAACATCATCTAATTGCAATCTGAACACTTCATTAAGGTCTAAGTCACTACATGCTATGCTCAAGGAAAATTAGTTGATGAATTACTGCATTTATAATATAATATTTGTGCCTAATTTTTATCACACTGTTGATGACAGTTTGAAGCTTGTTTTATTTTTGGTGGTTTTGAGACAGAGTTTTGCTATGAGCCCACACTGACTTTGAACTATAAGTCTTCCTGCCTCAGCTACCCGAGTGCTGGAATTACAGCACTACCACAGACAGGTGTGTGTGTGTGTGTGTGTGTGTGTGTGTGTGTCTGTTGTGTTTTATGGGAATTGAACTCAGGATTTTACACTAAGCTATATTCCCCAGCCTTTTTGTTTTTTAGACAAGGTCTTGCCAAATTGCTCAGGTAGGACTTGAACTTGAAATTTTCCTGCCTGAGCTTCTCTCAGTGCTGAGATTACAGGCATGGGCCACTGTGCACGGTAACCAGCTTGAAGCTCATTCTTGACCTTGTCAGTCATAATAGTATTTTATTGACTTAAGGCAAAAAAATCTTGGATTGAGTTAAAGAACAAAGGGAAATTTTACGTTTTCTTACAACCCATCCTGTTATACCATCACCTGAAAGATTTATGAGTTTACAAAAAACCCCACTGTGGACCAGGCCATGACAGCTGCTGAAAAATGCAGTGTTGCTCTCTGACCTGGAGCATCCTATTGCCTCCTCTTTCATCACAGATACATTCTCTGGGATCCCACTTTCCAGGATCCTACCCTCCTTAATGGTACCCGTTTCCTAGGGCTGCTGCAACAAAGTACCCCCCACTGCCGAGCTCAGAAGAGCAGAAGCATTCCCTAGTCTGGAGCCTGGACGCCTGTAGTGAAGTGGCAGCAGGGCTGTGTTCTCTGCAGGCTGGAGGAAGGACCTTTCTTCTCTCTCTACCTTCTGTGGTGCTGACAATCCTTAGCGTTTCTTGGCGTGATCATGAATCTAATCTCTGCCTCAGTCTGCACTGGCAGTTTTCTCTGTATCCCAATCTGTATCTCTGCTCTTCCTCTTATAAAGACATTGGTCATATTGGATTAAGGACCCATTCTACTCCAGTCACCTTTATCTTCACTAATTATACCTGTAAGGACGCCATTCTGTTTCTTTTGTCGCTAGTGTGCGCGCGCATGCGCATGTGGATGCGCGCGCATGCTGCCGATCATACCCAGGCCGGGCAAGCACTGAACCTCTGAGCTACAACCCCAGCTCCAGACCCTTTTTCTAAACAAGGTTTTATACTGAGGTTCTGAGAGGGAAAATAACTGGAAGCAGTATTCAATCTATTACAGTAATCAAGAGCTAAGGTGAGTGACGTTCAGTGAGCTAAGTGAGCACTTTAGCTAGGCATTCCATCGCTCCCTCCACAGAAGCCACATATGTGGTCGCTAAGCCTCTGTAGATAGTTCGATCTCATCCTGTACAGGTGCTGTCCCCTTTCCACTTCCTCTGAAGCTCGCGTTTTCGTGTTTTGATTGACATCTGAAAGGGGGTAGTCAATGTAGAGATGCACGTGAGTTTTCTCCTGCCTTTAATTGACTAGTGAACTTTTTATTTGCTCATAGTTTAACTAAAAAGAATGGCTGTGCTGTTCAGATTTCAGGCTAATAGAAGAGCAAAAGTGGGGAGGAGCATGACCTGTGTTCTGCTGTGTTGGTGGCTGTCTAGTTTGCGATAACAAATCTGGCACTGCCCAGCGAATCTACAGCAGACACACACACACACACACACACACACACACACACACACACACACTTCTAAAAGGTTGGATTATAAAAAATTTAAAGGTTTGAGATTCGCAGAAAACATATGAAACCATATATATTTGGTTTGGTTTTGATTTTTTAATGAGGCATCTGGTCATCTCTAGCTCAGGTTCTCCCAAAGTAAGTTGCAATAAGATACAAGTTGGATTATGTGACCAAAGATATCTAGTGCTTTAGACTAGGCACATTCCGTTTTTAAAAAACTTTGATTGTTATTTTATTGTCCTGTCAGTCTGTCCGACCCCAGTGGCCCTTTTCCATGGTTAGGCATAGTTGTTGGTCTTGGGGGTGTCTTAGGGTCGGTGGTGAATTGGCATTTCAGGTTCCCGGCCAATCATCTGTGAATTTGAATACTGTATTCAAAGGAATTCCAAAGTCTTTCCCAGCCTATGAGTCCACTCTGTCTGCCTCTGTCTATCTCTGGGACTCACTCAGTGCCTTTCTATCTATCCTCTGTCAGGTATATTACAGTTTTCTGCCTCAGGGCCTGAGCATATGTGGTTGCTAGCTGACTCCTCTTCCTGGCCTTGTCGACCTCCAACTCTTCACCCTACTTGGCCCATATTTATTATTTAGATATCTGCTTTAATGTCATTTCCTCAGAGTGGCAATACTTTATAAAATCCACCATGGAATTACATTTGGTCCTCAAAGCTTGTCATATAAGCACATGCTATAGTTGCTATCTGGCCAACTAGCAGTAACTCTTATCTTTCTCACAAAGCAAATTTAAATGACCTAGGTGAAGTCTAGGTGAACTCTCAGTGAAGGATGATATAAATGGAGAACTATGTTACTGGTATTTGTATCAGGAAGGAACGTATTTTAAAGTAATTTTCAATATTTCTGAAAATGCTGAATTTTCATTTTAAAGTGATTTTATTTCTCGCTTCAGAAAAATTATTAGATATTTGCCTGCTTACAAAGCTAGTATTTTCTTTTCTTTTCTGAGAGAGGTCTCATCGTGTTGTCTAGGCTGACCATGAATAAGATATATAGTTCATGCATAGGGCATTCATTCCTGGGTTCAAGTAATCCTCCCACCTCAGCCTCCTGGGTGTGGAGACTAAGGGAATTTGCTACTGTACCTGACATACACGTAACATTTTCTTTAAAGGCTTACAGTCCTATAATTCTTGGGAAATAATTTCATAGCTCTTGATATGTAGTTCTTTTGTCTTATGTGCACATTCAAGAGGCAGATATGTTTTCATGGTCTATATATGGAACTATATATCAGAGAACTGGTAACATTCAAGCTTACTATCATAATGTGTTGCAATGACCTTATTACCTTGGAGGATAGCTGAATTGGTCAAGATTCTCCAGAGGGACAGAGCCAGTAGGAGATATAGATATACAAGAGGGGGTTCATTAAGGGAAATGGTTCATACAACCTAGAGGTTGAAAAGTCTCACTATAAGCTACTGCAGACAGGAACCAGGGAGACCGGTAGTGTGGCTCAGTGCATGTCCAAAGGCCTGAGAATGAAGGAACTCAACAGTGTAATCCTCACACTGAAGCCAAAGTTCTGAGAAACTTGGCGGAAGGCAGGCACTGCTGCAAATCCTAGGTCCAATGGCTGGAGAACCTGGAGTTCTGATGCCCCAGTGAAGGAGAAAAGGGGTGCCCCAGTTCTAGGAGAGAGTTTGCCTTTCTTCTGCTCTGATGTTCTGTCTGGGCCTCAGCTAACTGGTGGTGCCACCCACACTGAGTGAGAGTGGATCTTCTTTATTCAGTCCATTGATCCAAATGCCAATCTCTTCTAGAACGACCCTCTCAGTTATGGCCAGAAAAATACCTCACCAGCTATGTGGGTATCTTTAATCCACATGAGGTGACACCTAAACTTAACTGTCATTTATTTTCTAAAATCTGCAGGCATCTGCTGATGACCTACTAAGTATTAAACAGTGTATCATGTATGGAGTGGGTCAGTATTGCTGCACAGGAGTTCTCAGTATAGTAGGAAAGAAAATACTTAACAGGACATAAATAATACAAATAAATAGTAAACAAGAAAAGAAACAGAATAAAGCTTGCTAGTGCTATAGTAGAGGTGAAGAAAAAGTGAATGGAAGCTGGGTGTGGTGGCTCACATCTATAATTCCAACACTCTAGGAGGGTGAGGCAATAGGATTGCAAATTCAAACCTAGCCTGGGCAACTGTCTTAAAATAAAAATTTTTTAAAAGGGCCAGGGATGTAGCTCAGTGTGGAGGCAGTGGGCTCAATCTGTAGCACTACAAGGGGAGAGGGAGGGGGAGGAGAGGGCGAGGAGGAGAAAAAGAACAGGAAGAAGGGGGAGGAAGAAGGGGGAGGGGAGGGAGAGGTGGTGAGGGAGGAGAAGAGAGAGAAGAAGGAGGGGGAGGAGGAGAAGAGAGGAAGGGGGAGGAGGAGGAGCAAGAATGGAAACACAATCAGAATTCACTTCACTGATTGAGTTGGATTTTATAAGTCAGTGATAGAATAATCCGTGTGTGCTTCTCAGGAGCAAATATTTATACTGATAAGTTATGCTTTATAATAAATAATTATTAAAAATATTAGGCGGCCTAAATTCCTGAGCCAAACACTCAGGATGACATTTAACTTTTAGTGACTTGCCATGGTAAAAATAAATCAAGTGAGTTATTTATTCAGTGTGGTTTTTCTTGCTTTCCTAGTTTTTTTTTTTCAGTGCTAGGATCAAATGCAGGGCCTAGAGCTTTAGGCAAGTGCTCTACCAAGGCACTACAACCCCATACCCACTTCTTGTTTTTCAAATACACCTTTGAAAAGAAAATATTTATTAGTTCTCTTGGACATTTACTTTTTAAAATTCTGTAGTATATTGCCAGAAACTTATCCTTTTAAAAGCTGAACCACCTGGGCATAGTGGTGCACACCTGTAATCCTAGCACTCAAGAGGCTGAGGCAGGAGGATCTTTAGGATTTTGAGGCCAACCTGGGCTACATAGTGAGACCTTGTCTCAAAAAAAAAAAAAACCAACAAAACATATGAAGCAAAAGTTAAAGTTTATCATTACTCCACTGCCTTCTCTAAACTCTGTGTACAGCCCTTAACTCAGTTCTAGGTGCATAGCTCATGTTCAACACACACACACATATAGAGAGAGAATATATATATATATAGAGAGAGAGAGAGAGAGAGAGCTGATGAAGACTAATATTTAGACCCAAGAGTGTGACCACAGGAAAGAGTTCATAACCTCTCCTCTATAACTAAATGTAAGGTAAACAATTGTACATGATACAGGTTTTTTTCCATGTTAATATATGTCAGTAAGGGAAGTATTTTACAGTTCAGCAAATTGTAATTTGAGGCTCCTGGGAAGTGGGTCAGCTATTATAATATATCACCACTGTTTCAAGTATTGTTTTTCCTATAGGTTGTAACTGAGGTATATGAATTTCTTACACTAGTATGACAGACCTTTGATACATTTGTTTAAGCATTTAAAATTTGTGTTATTTAAAAATCTTATATCAATATAAAGGTGAATTGAAGCCCATGCCTGTAATCCCAGGACTCTGGGAGGCTGAGGAAAGAGAATCACAAGTTCTACTCCCACCTGTGCAATTTAGCAACCCCTGTCTCAAAATAAAAATAAAAATAGAAAGGGATGGCGATGAAGACCTAGTACTGCCAAAAAATTGATGGATTAAGGAAGTACTTTATTTTTATGTAGCAGGAAATGCAGTTAGTAAACAGATAGGAAAAAGTTAAAACTTACCAAGAGTCAAAGAATACAAAATAAAAGTTCAGGATCTGATTTTTTTCTTCAAAATTTATAAAGATAGAACAGATCATAAAGATGGAAAGGTAAGTAAATAGCAAATATGCAGTTTTTTCTTATAAATAAGTCCTTCTGTAGAAAACATATTCCTTAATAAAGGTTAGTTATTTAATTTTTGAAGTTCAGGTACTTCACATGCTAAAATGTACCCTACCACTGAGCTATACTCCACCTTACTTAGGATTCTTGATTCTTAATTTCTTCCTCTGTAAAATAATGGTGTAGACCCAGGGTCCGTAAGAGTTTTCTTAGCTCCAAGACCTAATAATTATATGAGATTGCAAATACAAGAGAAGGATATTTTAAAAGGCTCATTAAGGGTCTAAAAATGTGCTCTTATAAGAAAAACACAAAGGCTAGCACCAAAATGTTACATATTGGGGAGAAAACAAGGAATTATTAAAATATAGTATTAACCCAATAGGTGATAGGTGATCATAAATTAAATGTATATTTGGCAAGAAATTCTGTCATTTCAAAACAAAAATTAAAATACACACACACAGACACACACACACACAAAACAAACAAAAACATGAAGCATGATTAAACTCCATGGTGTACAGCTAGCTATGCATTGGCTTAAAGTTTCAGTTTTCATTTCCTTAGGTAAAATGAACCATTCAGCTTTTGCAATATTCACAAGTAACTCATTCCAAATTACCTTGTAAATGGAGGCTTACTTTATGAACAGAATTATAAGATTAATCCTACAACCCTCGATAACGATTTCAGTATCCAA